GGGGGGGGGGGGGGGGGGGGGAGCTTTAGCCTAGATATGTCCACGTTCATCACAGCAAGGAGATGGTGCTCATTAACAGCAGTGGAACGGAACTGGTTTTCTATTTCTAACCACTTCATCCCACTTTATGATCCTTGGATTTTTAAATGCAATTTTATGGGTCATTGGTGTTGGAAAGGATTCTCTGCCTCCCTCCCTTCTTACTTTTTTCCATTATCAGACACTTACTCCTTAAGAACAGAGTAAATAGCAATGCAGATGTAATCACAGCCTTATGAATGTACAGCTTCCCATCGCTACTTGGACATTGGCCATCTGATACAATGAGCTGATTTAAGTGGTCCTCAAAATAGGCAAGTTGTGGAAGCATCTTTGGAGACGTGAAGGCTAATCTAGTATGTTGATGACCTTTGCTGGCTTTAGCCCTGTTCAGAAGGCGCCATAGGCACTTGCTTTGTGTATATTTGGACCTATTACCATTACCTGGAGTTTCTCTACAGTGGCCATTGTAAATGTGCACATTGCATTGTATGAATACAGCCTTGACCCACAGCATAAACAAACAGGGACTTAACTGTGTCCTGGGATCCCGTTGAGTGTGTTCAAGGGACCTGCAGGCCACCAGTCTCTTCTCATGTATTTGCTGGGTTTTCAGCTGACAGCCCTGGCTGACATGGAACTCCTTATGTAGACCAGGCTGACCTCAAACTCACAAAGATCTGCCTGCTTCTGCTTCTTGAGCACTGAGATTAAATGGTTGACCCCCATAGCTGGCCTCATACGTTTTTTTTTTTTCCTTTTTACATTTGTCCTGTAGTAAATGTAGAGTTTGCAAATATCTTCTCTTATTTTGTTGGTTCTCTTTGCACTCTGTTATTTCCTTTGCTATGTATAGACTTTTTAAATTCTGATATAATCCCATTTTCTATTTTTGCTTTTATTTCTTCATACCCAAAAAATGAGGCAGTATATGCTAGGTCATATCCAAAACCATCATAGTCCAGACCAATATAATGGAATTTCATGCATGCTTCCATGCTTTCTTCTAGAAGTTTCGCAGTTTGAGAGCCTACATTTAAGCCTTTCATATACTTTGAGCGGATGTTTGTGTCTGGGGAGAGACAAGGGTCTGTTTTCATTCTGTATAGTTGTACAGTCTTTGCAGCGGCATTAACAGAAGTGATTGTTCTTTCTCTGTTGTGTGTTCTTAGCACCTTTGTCAGAACAGCTGTCTGTAAATGCATGGGTTTGTTTCCGGGCTCTCTGTTTCATTCCCCTGGTCTGGTCCTATGGAATGCCGTGACAATGCCTCCTGGGTCGCTGCAGTTCATGTTGTCTTTGAAAAAGAGTAGTACCATGCTTCTCGCCTTATTATTTTTCTTGTAGATCTCTTTGGTTGTTTTGGATCTTTTGTGGTTCCATACTGGTGCTACAAAGCAATGTCTACTCCTCCTCCCAAAGTCTTAATGACCAACCTGAAACATGATTTCCCCCAAAGTTCACTACATAGAGCCCCTATGTTTATGGCATCCTTACAGAGTATAGAAGTAAGAGATTACTTACATGGTTATGTGCTCTCCTTCTCCAACTAGCTGTACCTGACAAGCCTTACCCAGTAGCAATGGCAGGCCTCCCATAGACCCATCTAGTCTCTCCTAACTGATAGGCTCTAAATACTCTAGCCCCTCCCCCAAGCTACATGCAGCATTGCCAGTGGGAGTTAGTAGTTGAGAGTTGCGGATACTCATTCAAGCAAGTATCTCCTTGCTGTGCTAGGGTATAAACCACCAACAGCTCAGCTGAGATGAACTTTCACAAGGGAACAAGATGGCAGTTGCTTGGCATATTGGACAGCAACTCACAGCACATTGTAAAAGAAAAACTAATAAAATTAAGAGGCAGTGCCAGATTTGGAAAAGCCATCTACTACTATAGGAACTCCATAAAATGTATCAATATGCATCTAGTAAAAGTTTAAATGGAGTGGGGCGGTGGTGGCGCACGCCTTTAATCCCAGTACTCAGGAAGCAGAGGCAGGTAGATCTCTGTGAGTTTGAGGCTAGCCTGGTCTACAAGAGCTAGTCACAGAACAGGTTCCAAACTACAGAGAAAAAAAAAAGGTTTTAATTGAGTTACCTTATGTTCTAGTTAGGTTTCTGTTGCTGTGATTTAAAAAAAAAAAAAAAAAAAAAAGCCTGACCAAAAGGAACTTTTGAGCGAAAACTGTTTATTTCACCTTAAAACTTACAGTCTGTTATTCAGGGATAGGACAGGAACTAAAGTAGAGACCATGGAGAAATGCTTGTTCATCTTGCTCTCTTATACCACTAGGGACCACCTCCCCAGGGGTGGTACCACCCACAGCAGTCAAGAAAATTCTTCACAGACCTGCTTGCAGGCTAAACTGATAGCGGCATTTCTTTAACTGATATTCCAACTTACGTCAGGTTAGCAAAGAACCAACCAGAACACCCTATAACAGGAGAACCAAGCTCTCAACTAGATGCCACATGCTGGAATGGGTTACTGTTTTAGAGTTTTTGGCCAACAAGGTCCCATAAATCCCCCAAACATTAATGGCCATTGTCATTGCTCTTGATGGCCTCCCAGAACTTGATGGTAGGACCGTACTGCTAATGACACCACTTCCATAGAAGTTGGGCCACTTCTGGCTAGCTTTCACAGTGGTGGGAGATGCTGTGTACACCGCCAGAAGAGAAAGGTTGCATTGGATCGTAGGTTTGCTTGGATAATATGAATGTTTTAACAGGGTTTACTCTTCGAGGCTACTCATACACAATACCCTTCTGTCTGTCTGTCTCCAGTTTCATCTAGAGTTTCATAGTTTTCACTGTGGAGATCTTTTACCTCATTGGCTAGATTTATTTCTAAGTGTTTTGTGTAGCTATTGTAAATGGGATTTTTGTTGAAGTTTGTAGAAATGCTGCTGGCTTTTTTAATGTTGATTTTTGTATTTAATTACTTTTAGCTCGTGATCATAACTTGTAGACTCTTCAGAGTTACCTACTTTTAAAAATCATGTCATCAGAAAATAACAATTTAATTTCTCCCTTTCTTGCCCTTTAATTCCTTCACAAATATAATATTTCCTCTAGACACATCTTATTCCAAATCAGCGTGTTTCTGGTGGCTGGATTCCTTTGAACTTATTATCTAGTTGATTATTTTTATTTGGATTTTTAGTAAGTACTTCAACAATATCAACATTTAAAACCCCAGTCACTGTGTGCCCTGAAGAATGGGTCCTGGCATTACATTTCCGCTCTCTGGCTACAAGAGTTGAGAGGACAAAATGCATTGAGTCTTCTGTGGTAGAGGCAGGGTCTTTTAATGAGTTTGGACCCTGCCTGATGCAAGAAGTCAGAGATTACAGAAGTCCCCCCAATCTTACCACTCCATCTCCCTCAGTGTCGTTGTTTCCCCTGCCCACCCCTGGAAACCTGTGACCACTGTAGCTTCGGCAAGCACCCATAGCGGCCGCTCTGTTTAATGTGTTCACACGCTCTATAACTCTGTCTGCCTTTCCCCTGGATCAGCGGCAGGGTCAGTAAGGATCTACAGGATACCAAATATTATATGCAGGGTAAGGAAGCCTACCCCAAACCCCTGCATTTAGATGTTTCTATCTTTAAAAACATCAGTTAACCACAAGCAACATATTTTTAATTGTCTAAGTCATTGTGTGTGTGCCTGTGCATACATGTGTCTGTAAAATACACTGGAGAAGCAGCAAATGCATTATTAGGCATATCCAGAGGAGATTTTAGACAGCTTCATACTAAAACTACTAATAATAATTAGGGAAGGGATAGTACATGTCCTTTGCTACTTGGAGGCCACAACCGTTGAAATGACAACCAGATTGTGTAGATCTGTATACCCTAACTCTTTCTGAACCAGGAGTTAATTTCTTCTTGACAATTGTCATCATCTTTGGTTTTTTTGTAAGATCAGGTATGACATGATGACGGAAAATCCCAAGTAGGGGAGCTGGAGAGCCGGCTCAGAGATTAAGAGCACCGGCTATTCTTCCAGAGGTCCTGAGTTCAATTCCCGGCAGCCACGTGGTAGCTCACAGCCATTATAATGAGATCTGGTGCCTTCTTCTGGCGTTCAGGCAGACATACAGACGGAACACTGTATATATAATAAATAAATAAATGAATCAAAAAGAAAAGGAAGGAAGGAAGGAAGAAAGGAAGGAAGGAAGGAAGGAAGGAAGGAAGGAAGGAAGGAAGGAAGGAAGGAAGGAAAAATCCAAGTAGGGCTGGGCATAGTGGTGAACATCTTTAATCTCAGCACTTGGGAGATTAGAGGCAGGCAGATCTCTGTGAATTTGAGGACTCTCTGGTCTACATTGGTGAGTTCCAGGACACCCAGATGTACATAGTGAGACCCTGTCTTGAGAAGAAAAAAAAGAAAGAGGAGGAGGAGAACTATCCCAAGTAGAAACTGTGGTGAGGAGAGATTTTCCATGTTTCTTTTAACATTTTAATGAGAAACTGTTTTTAAAACTCCATAGAGTGCATTTTTGACAGGGCTACCCTGCCATTTTTTGTGGTTGACAAGAAGATGTTAATGCTTTCCTTGGCTTCAAGAAGAGTCACAGCACCCCCTCTTGTGTACACTGGCCCTCGACAGGACCGACGGGGACAGAAATGAATAGGCTTCCCATTGTTCTGTGCGTTTTCACCAGGACATTTCATCGGTGTAAACAGTGAGCCCTTTGTCATCTTGCTTCGCCCCTTGACCCTGGTGGTTCTGTTCTGCTCGTGCCGTGAAGCACGGAGGTGGCAGGCATGAGACAGGCACTAATTATTGGACGCGGAAGCATTGCTGACCCAGGACGTGATTAACCGGTCCTTTGCGGTTTTTATTCCAGGGCATTAGCACTGTCTGGTTATCTTGCTTTGGTTGAGAAATCCAGGACAATAGCAGTGCTGATGGTAACGTTGGCAATTTCCCTGTTTGTTTTGCAGGTCACGGCCAGGGGCTTTGGGCCACTGCTCCAGTTTGCCTACACTGCCAAGCTGTTACTCAGCAGAGAGAACATCCGCGAGGTCATCCGCTGCGCCGAGTTCCTGCGCATGCACAATCTGGAGGACTCCTGCTTCAGCTTCCTGCAGACGCAGCTCCTGAACAGTGAGGATGGCCTGTTTGTGTGCCGGAAGGACAGCGCATGCCAGCGCCCCCAAGAGGACCATGGGAACTCTGCAGGAGAAGAGGAGGAGGAGGAAGAGACGATGGACTCAGAGACAGCGAAGATGGCTTGCCCCACCGACCCCATCGGCTTTGAGGCCGCTGCCATTCCTGTAGCCGAGAAGGAAGCCTTGCTACCTGAGTCTGAGGTACCCACAGACACCAAGGAAAACTTAGAAAAGGATGCGTTGACACAGTACCCTAGATACAAGAAGTACCAGCTTGCATGTACCAAGAATGTCTACAGTGCGTCCTCACACAGTACCTCAGGGTTTGCAAACACGTTCAATGAAGACAGCCCAGGCAATAGCCTCAAACCGGGGCTCTCCAGGGGACAGATTAAGAGTGAGCCACCCAGTGAAGAGACCGAGGAGGAGAGCGTCACACTCTGCCTGTCTGGAGATGAAACTGACATCAAAGACAGACCGGGGGATGTTGAGATGGACCGGAAACAGCCCAGCCCTACCCCTACCCCCAGTACCCCTATAGGAGCCACCTGCCTGGACAGATCCAGGAATGTGTCCTCACCTTCCTGTCTACGGTCTCTGTTCAGTATAGCAAAGGGTGTGGAGTCGTCTGGCCTGCCAGGTACATCTCAGCAACACTTTGTCAGGAGTTCGGCGTGCCCTTTTAACAAGGGGATCTCTCAGGGTGACCTTAAAACTGACTACACCCCTTTCACAGGGAATTATGGACAGCCCCACGTGGGCCAGAAGGATGTGTCCAACTTCACGATGGGGTCGCCGCTCAGGGGGCCTGGGCCGGAGGCTCTCTGCAAACAGGAGGGAGAGCTGGACCGGAGGAGTGTCATCTTCTCCTCGAGCACGTGTGACCAAGTGAGCACTCCAGTGCATTCGTATTCTGGGGTGAGCAATTTGGACAAAGACCTCTCTGAGCCGGTGCCAAAAAGTCTATGGGTAGGGACTGGCCAGTCCCTCCCCAGCTCACAGGCCTACTCCCACAGCGGACTGATGGCTGACCACTTGCCAGGCAGGATACGGCCCAACACCAGCTGCCCGGTGCCAATCAAAGTCTGTCCTCGCTCTCCTCCATTAGAGACCAGAACCAGGACCTCCAGCTCCTGCTCCTCCTATTCCTATGCAGAGGATGGGAGCGGGGGCTCCCCCTGCAGCCTCCCTCTCTGTGAGTTCTCCTCCTCACCCTGTTCCCAGGGAGCCAGATTCCTTGCCACAGAACACCAGGAACCGGGCCTGATGGGAGATGGGATGTACAACCAAGTCCGACCCCAAATTAAATGTGAGCAGTCTTACGGAACCAATTCCAGTGACGAATCTGGATCATTCTCAGAAGCAGACAGTGAGTCGTGTCCTGTGCAGGACAGGGGCCAGGAGGTAGGGAATCCACCTGAGTTCAAACGTATGACCTGCTGTCTCAGTCCTTGACCTGAATTGTTCCTCTCAAGCATCATTCTGAGACTGTTCGTATGTGTTGTCTTAGTTAGGGTTACCATTGCTGTGATGAAACACCACGACCAAAACAGAAGTTGGGGAGGAAAGGGTTTATTTGGCTTACACTTCCATATTGCTGTTCATCATCAAAGGAGGTCAGGACAGGGCAGGATCCTGGAGGCAGGAGCTGATGCAGAGGCCATGGAGGGTTGCTGCTTCCCAGCTCACTCCTCCCCCAAGGCTCTCTCTGTCTGCTTTCTTGTAGAACCGAGGACCACCATTCCAGGGATGACCCTACCCACAATGGGCTGGGCCCTCCCTCATCAGTAACTAATTTAAAAAAATGCCTTACACCCAGATCTTATGAAGGCATTTTTCTCAATTAAGATTCCCTCCTTCCAGATAACTAATTTGTATGTCACCAGCACACATGTCAAGTTTAAAGGTGGCAGTCAATGGTCTGGTAGCAGGAAGTGGACTGTCCCTTCCTTCCTTGGAAGCAGAATGCTGCAAGGTGATTCCAAATTACTCCCTTCAGTCTTAGAAAGCCTTCTATGTCTAACCTGGATTCCAGTGCTCAGTGAGCAGAGGCAAACTGAATGCAGTGCATGTAAGTGTGTTGGGGGGGTGCTTTCAGTCTCCCCCCTTTCTTCTCCCCTGTCTTCTACCGACTTTGGAAGGATGCCCTCATGTTTGCTCTTCACCCCTTCGTTATGAAGGGCAATGCATAAGCTCCTTCAAAGTGATGAACTGGAGCCAAACAGAGCCTGCCAAACAGGTGCTTTTCCTGCACCTTGTAAGTATTTCTTGTCAACAAGACACAAGGTGGCTCTGTCTCTATCACAGCGCCGATGACAGAATGCTTATCGTCCATCCTAGACACGGGATCCCGGCAGAAGCGCCCTAGTCAACACACACAGCTGTGTCAGGGCTCGCTTCCCAAGCTCCCACCAGCGATAAGAAGACATTCATTTAGTGGATAGTGTTTCTGTCCAGCCTGAAAGCATTGTGCTTTGTCGATAAAAAGTATATAAAGACTTCATCTGTGGGTCACTGTCTCTGGGAGCAGGAGTGGGGACAGTACTGGCTACATCACAAGCAAGACTCACATAACTACGAGAAAGAAGAGTGGGAGTCCCAGAGGTCCCCAGTTCCCTAGTAATTTGAATGTTGCCTAGACAGATCTAAGCATGTCTAGGTCGTGACCTGGTATCTACTGCACTGCCTTGCTGATTGACAGAGACCCACCCAGAGACTGCCGCTGTGGCTCACACCTGTCTCGGGAGCAGAAGTGAGCAAACCCAGTGACAGGTCTTTCCCCGTGTCTGAAAAACACAGAAAGAAGACATATGGGTTGGGGCTGTGGCCCCATGGCAGGGTGCTTGTCTGCCTTGGCCTGGTCGTGGATTCAGTCCCTGAAAAAAAAAATGAGAGAAGGAAGGAAAGAGAGGAAGGACAGGAAGGGAGGGAGCTGCCCATGAGGCCAGTGCTCTCCGTACTTACCTGCTTTTCGGCCTTTCTTGCTCAGCAAAGGTTAGCTCTGCCAGATAGCAGGAATGCGTGAGAGGCGAGGTGAGGTAGCCTAGGAGCCACGTGTGGTTGATTCAGCATCCACAGGGCCGCGGGGCAGAACGCACATGCCGGGAGCTCTAACTTCAGGCTGTTTTGAAGATGGACTCCAACGCTGCCTAGTAGCTCTAGACACACCCTGGCTTCACTTCCTCTTCTTTGCTAGCCTGCCTGGTCCCGGCTTTCCTGTTAGTGTCTGGCAGAAATAGAGAAAGACAGAAAACCACTGAAAAGGATTTAATTTAAACAATAGAAATTATGAAGGCACTCTGGACGGGCGGCCTTCTTGTTCATATCTTCTCCCCTGGAGTTTGGGATGGGGTTACTGTCGATGCCTGTGACATGCAGCCCTGTTCCTAACAGAAGACTGAGGCTTCTAAAAACCAAGAGCAGGTTGTGTTCTCTCCTCTTGTCTTCTTTCCTCTGACAGCTTTTGTGAGGTTTGCTTTTTGTCCCTGGAACTGTTTTAAGTGTGCCTCATGCAGAAAGTTAGTCACGGAGTCAGCTCCATCCCACAGCTGATCTTCTCAACAACTGGCAGAGTCAGGACAAATGCTTCTGAGCCTTTGAGGTCTTTTGAAGACCCTACACTTAGCCCAGGAAGTCATGTTTCTTAGGAACTATCAGTTTCAGATACCCAAGATATGCCAGCTGGGTGGTGGTGGTGCATGTCTTTAATCCCAGCATTCTGGAAGCAGAGGCTGGTGGATCTCTATGAGTTCAAGGCTAGCCTTGTCTACAATGTGAGTTCCAGGCCAGCCTTGTCTACAACAGTGAGTTCCAGGATAGCCAGGATTACACAGTGAAACTCTGTCTTGGAGGGGGAAAAAAAAAAACAAATAACAAAACAGATAGCCAATGCCGTCCATAGACACATTTTCTTCTCTGTTGGACTAGGTCAATCTCCACCTTAGAACTGAAAACCGTGACACAGGGGGAGGAATCATTCAACCCATGAAGCAGCCACAGACAGGACAAGTCTCCCCTTAAAATGCCCTTGCATTTAATTTTTATTTTTACTTTTCAAAACAAACCTGTAAAGCATTCATAAGCAGTGAAGGACACATTTGCCAAAACTCCCTGCCGTTTCATGAGTCACACGCCAACCTTCTCAGTAGCTTGTGTTGGGCAGGAGGAGGCTAGCAAAGCTGAGGTTTTTCCCCAGTGGTGGAAGTTACTTCCCAGAACCACCCAGGCCCTCGGCATGAAGGTCCCCCTGGGAGTTAGTGACTTGCTTCAGGAGTGACTTGGCGTAGGTAGAAGTTCTGCCCCCAAATACACCGAGTTCCCATGAGTTTTAACTTGTTTTCTTGAACTGATCCATAAGATACAATAGTATCTATCTTGGATTCTACCCAGATAGGGTTTGAGTGTTTTCTTCCAAGTAAACCATAAGACACAACCGAGTCTGAGATAAAACCTGGGGCTCCTCTCTCAACCGGCCACCTGCGTAGATAGCCCTGCAGCGTCTCTCCATCTTCTGAGCCAAAATGCTGGACCAGAAGAAAAACATTAACATGCCTTGCTTTCTGTAAAATCTATGACCGTGTTAAATAACTCTCCTAGGGCATAAAACAGACTTTTCCCATCCTTGTTCTCCCTTCCCTAGCTTTGAAAAAGCTTCAGTTATTGGGTTGGAGAGTTGACTCAGCAGTTAAAAGTACTGTCTGCTCTTTTGGAGGGCCCAGGTTCGATTCCCAGCGCCCACCCACATGGCAGATCACAGCCTTCTTCTGTAGCTCTGGCCTCTGCAGTTACTGCATATTCATGGTGCACTGACCCGACATACATGTAGGCAAAACACCTATACACATAAATCATAAATTTTTAAATAAAATACAATCTCCGTACCATAAAATTCACCCTATGAGAATGAAAAGCTCAGTGTTTTTAATATTTTCGCAGTGCTCTGCAGCCACCCCCAGTTTGTGAACTAGCATAGTTTCTTCACCCCAGGAATAATACTGTTCCCCAGTAGCAGGTCTTCCTCATGGCTCCTTTCCCTCCACCCCAGGTGAGCACCCGTCCACCCCTGTCCTGTGTAAATGGTATTTGGCTTTCTTCATTTAGGATAGCATTTTCAAAGCTTATCTCTTCCGTAGATAGACCCATCTGGTGTATTTTGGTATATCAGAGCTCCATCCTTCTAATTGCTGATATATTTTGTTAGGGCATACCACATTTTATGGATCCATCATTGCTTGAGAGAGTTTTGGTTGGTTCCGATTTCTCCTGGGTGTATTTTAGAATGGTGCTGTGAGTATTTGCATGCCAGGTTTTTGTAGACAGGCTTCCAGTCCCTTTGTTACCTGTCTCTAAGTGGAATTGTTGGATCATGTGATGACTCTATCTGTGGCCTTTTGAGGAACTACACAGCCGTTTCCACGGCAACTATACCGTTTTTGCATCCCCCCTCCCCCAATCAGTCTAGGAGGGATCCAGTTTGTCCTCTCTCTGCCAATACTTATTCTTCTCTGTGTGTCCATCTAATGGATAGGACATGGCATCTCCTATGTTGACCAGTCTGTTTTAGATTTTGAAAGCTGTACAAAAGTCACAGTTCTCTTCCAAGTGTCGGTGCCCTATAGTAAGTTCCCAAAGCCTTTCTAAGTGACTGTGGTTTCAGGAAAGAAACACTGGGAAGATGGTTTATTTCCATATCCAAAGGCCCTGGTTAGCTGGACTTTCTTTATTGACATGCTTCATTTGGAGAGGAATAAAAGCATATGATAGTAGCCAGGCATAGTCTCATGTGCCTTGTAATCCCAGCATTTAGGAGGTGGAGGCAGGAGAGTCACAAGTTCAAGGCCAGCCTGAACTACGAGGCCCTGTATTAAACAAAACAAAGTGAAAAGGGGGGGATGTGTGTGAGGGAGGGGAGCCACCATTAAAATAGTACAGAATAGCCATGTCTAATTCTTCTCACCAAATTACTGAGTTGGATATTCTGTTTATTTTCATTTTTATCTTTCTTTGATAATTTTTAAACCATTATTCTATTATTCTTTGACAATTTCATACACATATATAATATACTTGTCTTTTTCTTTGTTCCTTCCTTTTTCTTTCTGAGACAGAGTCTCTCTATGTAGCTCCAACTGTCCTAGAACTCAGTCTATAGACCAGGCTGCCTCTAACTCACAGAGACCTGCCTCTGCCTCCCGAGTTTAAAGGTTTATCCCACCATACCCAGCTTATTTTGGTCATTTTTAATCCCAGGTATTCCCTCTCATCCCTTCCTGCCCCCATGAACCCCTTCTTCCCAGTTAACTTGAAAACTTTCTGTGTAAGATTTTTGCAGTCATCCCTGTGATTTGTTTCTGCAAGTGTCTGTAATTGATCTGCTTAATAAAAAGAAGATTTTGAATGGCAGCATAGAAGTCAGCTGTGTTCATAATCAAAACAGAATTTTTATATTGTCTAGAACATTCTCAGTGTTTGGAATTCCTAATGTTATATGTCTGGAAACCATAGAACAAGGAAAGATGGGTCTTAGCTCACCCACAGAGCAGGTCCTTTCTCTGTTACCTCATTTTATTCTCCATAGCCATTCCAATGAGACAAGTATTATCTCTGACTCACAGAACCTCAAAAGGTTCAGGACAGAGAGAATGAGTTACCTGGGACCACATAGCTAGTAGTCTTTGTAGTCTTCAGAGTGAACCCCTGGTGTCTGGGATACCGAGTAGAAGGGAGGTGATACGGGAGCATCTATCTCTTGGTCTTGGAGAGCCCATATATTGTCATGGCCTCCAAGGTGCCCACTCAGTCTGGCACTGTGTGCCTATGGCTTCAGCTCATATCTGGTAAGACCCGAGAAGGGAAGCAGAAAAACTTCACAGTCCGTTCTTCTGTTTCTCCACCCTCCTTCTCCAATATCCTTCAGCCAGCACACTGGAAGCAGCAGGCAGTAAAATGTGTGTTCACAGACTTGGTGAAGCAAGATAGCGAGTGAAAACTGCAGAGCAAACATTGCAGAGAAATCCATCAAGGCAAGATAGGCATTGTTTCAGAGTGGGAACTTTTCTTCTTTTGTCTCATATTTGAATTCTGCATAGGAAGTGGTGTTTTTGATTATATTTTTAATGGAGATGGGGAGGGTAGCTTAAGCTCCAGGATGTGGGCGGTTGTTAGCAAGTAGTTTTCTGACTGATGAAAAGGAAACACCGCCTCCCAGGTCTGCCTGCAGCTTGTCCAACCTCCCTGGTCCAGGCTTTCTATCTAGCCATGCAGATGTGCTGAGAAGGGAGGTTTAGGTTTCATGCATCCTTCAGCAGGTCCTCTGCCCTTTGCTCTCTCTAGATCAGAGGCCCCTGGTTGTGCTGCAGGAATCCACTTCACAGATGGCTCAAGAGCTGGGGCTCTCACAAAGTCTAACCTCCCTTGGGCATTCTTTGCTGGGCAGCATACGTCCCATACTGGAAAATGACCTCTAATCCTGCACTCCCTGTGAGTTCCAGAGGTTTGAGAAGAGTCAGCACTTTGGTATAAGATTGGGTACAGCCAACAGGAACGTATTGTGCAAACCACAGCCATGGCCTGTAGTGCCCTCTTTGGCCCTTGGTCTGCTGACTCAGTGGCTATTCCTGAATCTCTGAGCCTTAACTGAGAACCAAAGTAGTTGACAACTAAAGAGAGGCGTCACCTACAAACCCACAGGCACGTCTGCTACGCAGCCTCCCAACCCAGAGTCCACTGAATGTAACTGCAGGCCGTTCAGACAGGGGGCAGTGAGAGCCTGCAGAATGTTTCTTCGTGTCCTATTGTCTGTTCTGCGCTGTCTCTGGGGACCCAGAGAGTAAACACCTCTGATGAGAAGTGCAGTGTGAAAGGATGTGTTGTGCAGGAGCAGGGACTCAAACAGCAAGCCCCACGAGCTTTTTGCGGGGGCTGCTGTATTCAGCTTCTGGAAGAAAGAGAAGACCGCCTTGGCCTTCTCTGTGCTGTTGAAATTTGCAAGGCCCTGCCACATCACCCGGCTTCCAGCCCTGGGTGGGGAACATGTGCGTCCACAAAAGCCTATGAGGAGAACTTTCCTAGTCGAAGGCCTGGGGCTGCTGCTGGTCTCCAGGAGTGCCCATTGACTCAGAAACACAGAAGGGATGTGATGAAGCCTCTCTGCCCCTTGGGGAGCACAGCAGGTGCTCCCACCTGTAGTCACTGTAAGTTCTTCCTTTCGGTATGGCTAGCAAATCTAAAAGCACAAACCCACCACAAGAATGAGGTTCCCTCACCCCTGGTAGGACAGAAAGCCCGCGGTTGACTCCTTTCTTCGCCCCCTGACCCGCTTTAAAGAGCAGCGTGATTGCAAAAGCCCTGATGAAATTTTCTGTGGGGTTTGCATTTGCTTCCAGGACTTTGACACTGCCTTTGTTGATTTTTCCCTTTCTCCTGCCAACCCTCCGTCTATCTGCCTGTGTTGTGTTTGCTGTCTAGATCATTTTAAATACAATAGCGTTTGGTGCGGAAGCCCTTTTGACTCTCCTTGTGATTGCACTGTTGGCGTGTTTTCTTTCAGAAAATAAGTCAATGCGATCTGGAACTGAAGCAGGGTGGCTCCACTGTCAGCAGAAGTAGGAGTCCCATGAGCCCTAAGAGTGCACACAACCTTTGTAATGCCCAAATTCAGTGCCTCTAATATTGATGTCTGTGCTAGGAACCATCTAGGATCTAACTATCTGTTTACAGATATCCGAAGGGAAATTAGCAGTCTTCCCTATCAGTGTAAGCCTTATAGAAACACAGCCCCACAAACCAAGGCCTTGCCCAGCCCCTGAAAAGGAACTGTTTGTCCTGACTGCTTGTGTTTAGCACTCAGAGCAGGGCTGGGCCCTCAGTGGTGTAATTATTCCCCTACAGTTTCCTGTTCTTGGGCTGAAGTTTTGCAGATGTCGTGGGACTCACATTCACCATGTGGGGTTCAAATCAGAGCATCCTCTGGGAGCCTTCCACAAATGCCACATGGAATAAGCTCTCAGCTAGGAAGTAACCCGACGAAGCATGTTCCCCCGAGCATGGGAAAGGCAAATGATTCTTTAACGGGCTTGCCTTGCCTTTGTGCGTGGTGGGCAACTGGGCACAAAGGCCAGGACTGCTGGGCCTCGTGTCTCTGTGACACAACTGTATTTCTGAGTTTAAGCTAGAAGAGCCACGTCCTTGGCCTCTTAGAGAACATAGACTCAACACTCCACCATCTGAAGACTAACAAATAAGGATGCTTTCTTCGCTAGAATATTTTGAGCAATGAAACCCAGGCCCACAGGCTTTTTCTAGGGACCGTTTCTCCTGAGAGCTGTATGAGATTAGTGGCTGCCCCCCCCACATGCCTTTTTTTATGAGGGCTCATCCGAATTGTGATTTACTAGAACAAATAAATGTGCTTTGGATTTAAAATTTTTATCAATATATTTTTTTAATTAGCAACTTATATAAATTGCATGTTATAAATATTTCATGTATTGGGATAAATAACATGTTCTTGGAATTAAATTTACCTGTTTTGTTTTATTTTATTTTTACTTCATTTAATGTGACTGCTGTCAATTTTTTTTGTTTTGTTTTGTTGTGGTTTTGGGGTTTTGATTTTTTTGGGGTTTTTTTTTTTGGCGGGGGTAAGTGTTGGTTTGTGTTTTCCCAAACTCACAAAGATTCTCCTGCCTCGGCCTCTTGCCTCTCAACTGCTGAGATTAAAGGTGTGACCCACCATGCTAAATTAGCCTTCCTGACTGATAGTGTTAGCCTAACTCATAACATTTAGGCTTATAGTGCCACCTGCTGGCCCAGCCAAAAACAAAATTTGTGAGAAAAAATAGCCTGAACCAGGTCGTTGGGTGGTGGTGCACGCCTTTAATTCCAGCACTCAGGAGGCAGAGGCAGGGGGATCTCTGTGAGTTTGTGGCCAGCCTGGTCTACAAGAGCTAGTTCCAGGTCAGGCTCCAAAGCTACAGAGAAACCCTATCTTGAAGAAAAAAGGAACCTGAGCCTGAGCTGGGTGTAGTAGCCCAGGCTGGCCTCTAGCTCCACGTGTAGCCGAGGATGCCCTTGAGCTCCTGGTTCTCCAGCCTCCACCTCCTGGGATTACTGAGATTGCAGCTTTCCAGGAGCTGCAGAAACATAAATAGTTAAGGAAGTCCCCAAACTGTCAGCGCCGCCTCAGCGAAGGCAGGAATAAACTTTTAGACATTGCAGACCTGAGCCCCAAACCCTGTGGTCCTGATGAGGCTTTAGAGATGGGGAGCCTGGGTTTGTGTCTCACCCTCTGAATTAGGCATGAATCTATTGCTTTAACCCAGGCTGGTCTCAAACTCATGTTGTAGCTATGGATGGCCCTGAATTTCTAATTTTCATGCCTCTACTTCTGGGTTTATAGACATGTGTCACTATGTCAGGCCTCTGTAGCTGCTGTTCTTAAGAAATAATACATACCAGAATTTAACAACACAGAGAAGACACCTCCAAGGGCATGTCATTCTCTCTCTATTATTTTGGAATTTCTTATTTTTACTTTATGGTTGTTTTGCCTGTGTATATGTCTGTCTGCATACCTTCCTGAGTGCCTGGTGTCCACAGAGGTCAGAGGAGGAAAGGATGTTGGATCCCCTGGAACTGTAGATACAGATGGTTGTGAGCTCTCAAGTGGGTCCTGAGAAAAACAGCCGGTGCTCTTAACTACTGAGCCATCTCTCCAGCCCGTCATTCTCTCTCTAGAAAGTGTTTGCCTTAACTTGTCAAGGACTTGAAAGTAGGAATCTTGGTGATAAAATATGCATTTCCACGTGATAAACGACCCCAAATCTTATTGGCTTACAGCAGCAGTGGGCCACTTAGCATCTCTTGCAGTTTCTGAGTGTCAGGAACTCAGCAGGCCCATCTGAGCCTTTCCAGGGTCAGGTGTCTGTTGAGATTGAAGTCGGGTGTTGGCTGGGGCTACAGTCATCTGAGTATCTCACTAACTTCAAGGATCCACTTCCGAACTGGCAAGATGGTTCATCATGTCAGGGTGCCTGCCGAGTCTGACTCCCAGAAACCCATACAGTGAGAGAAGAAAACTGAGTTCAAAATAAATGAATGTGTTTCCCAGGTGGTCCATTCAAGTAACTGGCAGGACAGAGGCAGTGAGCTGGAGGCACCAGGTCTGCCCTACAGAGCAGCCAGTGTAGCGGGACTAAGTACGAGTCTCGGTGCCCTTCAAGGCACAGCCTCAGGGAGGCAGTGGCGGGGAGGAGGCAGAAATCTTTAATAAATAAATAAATTTAAAAAAGAAAAAAGAAAGAAAGAAAGAAAGAAAGAAAGAAAGAAAGAAAGAAAGAAAGAAATAAGAAAGAACACATAACGCCATCCGCTGAGATGCACCTATCAGAAGGAAGGCTTGTGCATCTTGGTAGAGGAATAGCAGCATTATGTTGTAAGAGGAAATGTAAGGTATGGTGGCCATTTTTTTTTGGTGGCCATTTTTTAAATAAATATTCTAAGTGCCTAACGTAACACAAACCTAGAAAGCATCCTTGTTTTGCACATGAGGAAATTGAGGTTCACAGAAGTGACGTCACCTCCTTGAGTTCTCATTCCGTGTGAGCAGTAAAGCCCATTTCTGAGACCTCCTATCCGGGCAGGCTATCTCCTTGTGTTTTGTATGTGTAACAAAGACTTTTGCTGACTGTTGCGTATGTTCTGTGTCTTCAAGGTGTACTCGCCTATCTTTCAAGTCTTTGCATCAGTCCTTAGAAGATAACTTTACATCGATCACTTTGTTGAGCTCACTTGTGGAACTTGTTGAAGAGAGCGTTGATAAGCCGTAGTCTCCCTAAAATTAACAGTTTCCGGTGTGAACCTCAGGAATAATAACATTATAATTTGTGTCTGTTTCTATTGCATTTTCCTTTCTTGATGTGCGTGCGTGTGTGTGTGTGTGTGTGTGTGTGTGTGTGTGTGTGTGTGTTGAGACATATTCTCACTTTGTACCCCAGACTGGCTTCAAACTTACTATGTAGCCTATGCTGTGCTCAGTCCTCCTCTTCCTCGTCCTCCTCCTGAGTGTCGGGATTAGAGTTATACACCACCACACCTGTCTTTCTTGTATGTGTTTGTATTGTTTAATTATACAAATATTTCACCTCACTGTTATTGACACAAGAGATTATGAATCACTACCTGCTTTCAGTGGTTTCCATATGATTTGGTCATCTTTAAAAAAAAATGATTTGGGGACTGGAGAGGTGGCTACGCAGTTTAGAGCACTGACTGCTCTTCCAGAGGACTCAGCTTCAACTCCCAGCCCCCACATGGTGTCTCACAACCCTCTATAGTTCCCGTCCCAAGGAAGCCAACGCCATTTTCCAGCATCCATAGGCACTGTACACATGATGCAGAGAGGTGCATGCATGCAAAACACCTATACGCATAAAATTAAAAACAAAATGGAAAAACAAGCAAGCCAACAGGTGAGGTTTCATTGGGGCTGGACAAAAGGCTCAGCAGTTGAAAAATGTGTACTGCTCTTGCAAAGACCCAAGTTTGGTTCCCAGCACCTACAGTAGGCACAACTGTCTTACACTCTCTTGTGGCCTCAGTGGGTACCTACATATGTGTGCACATACCAACATACACACGCACACGTGCGCACAAACACACACACACACACAATGTTTTAAAGAAGTTTTACCGTTCTGTGGTGTCTTGCTCCAGCTGCTCTAACCCCGCTTTGGTGTTCTTGGTTCCAGGTTAAACTTCCTTTTCCTGTAGATCAGATCACAGATCTTCCCAGGAACGACTTCCAGATGATGATTAAGATGCACAAGCTGACCTCAGAACAGTTGGAGTTCATTCACGACATCCGGAGGCGCAGCAAGAACCGCATTGCCGCCCAGCGCTGTCGCAAGAGGAAGCTGGACTGCATTCAGAATTTAGAGTGTGAGATACGAAAGCTGGTGAGTAGGGGAGCAGGTAGTCGTCACATCCGTTAGAGCTGGAGAAGTGGAGGGACAGGTTACCCGTCAGGGACATCTGGCTTTATTCTCAGCAGAAGCAATAGATGTGTATCTGGAATGTATGTAGATGTACAGGTGTGTCATCGTGTGTCATATCCTTCAAGTTCCTTATGAAATTGGTTCTTTTTATTTTCCAAATGTGTGTTATGCATGTGCACTGTATGCATATGAACACCAGGTACTCTTCTAAACTAACCCTCTACTCCTATGACTGATTTTCATAACTAGCATTCTGGCCCATGTAATTGTGTGATTCTGAGCACACAGTAAAGATCTAAGCTATATACCAGGCAAATATCTAAAACACTCTATTGGTTCGTTCAGTTGAAAGAGCAAAACAACACTGCTCTCCCTCCGTCAGCATTTTCCAGGTCTTAAATAATACACTCTGTGTTTTATTTTGCTTTCTAACGCCGCCACCAGAAGCACCTTGAGACAGGAACGGTATGATGGCATATTCATCCCAATCACAGTCCATTGTGAAGGGAGGTCAGAGCAGGAACTGGAGGCACGAACCAGCCAATGCCGAAGGCACGGAGCAAGCCGTGCTCACTGGCTTGCTCAGCTTTCTTCCATATACATCCCAGGACCACCAGCCCAAGGGTGGTACCATGCACAGTGGACTGGGCCCTCCTACATCAACCATTAATCAATAAAATGCCCCCCATAGACTTGCCCACAGGCCAGTCTGATGGAGGCAGTTCCTCAACTGACAGTCCCTCTTCCCAGATTATGCTAGCTTGTATCAAGTTGGAAAAAGAAAAAAAAAACTCTTGTCCTCTTGCCTCAGTGCTGAACAAGAGTTCCACATGTCCATCCACACACATCTGTACACCTGTGACTTAGAGATTCATAATAGGGTCTTTGGCTTCAGTTTTGGTTTCTTACAAGAGGATCTTCCTATGTAGACCAGGCTGGCTTTAAACGCAGGCCTCCTGCCTCTGCCTCTGCCTCCCAGGCTTTGGTAGGGTAGGCATGTACCCCCGAGGTTCCCTGGCTTTAACCAAGGCTGTTCTTCCTTTTCTGAGGAAAGCCAAAACCATGTCACTTCTGCCACCCTATTTTCTTCTCCCACGAAGTGTCCAGAACAAATTTTAAATGAGCAGGCAGGCCCACAGGCAGTAGTGCCTAGAGCGAGGGGTCGCAACAGAAGGGCCCCAGACTCCTTTCCCAGAACGCACTGGCCCTCATTTTTAGACCCCCGGGTTCAGTGGAGAGGAGGCCAAGTCGCTGGACCCGCTCGCTTATGACTCAGTGGCGGGGATGACTTGAGTGGTCAGGGCCGGCCAGCCTGGTCTGCCGCGGCACCGTTCCCGACAGGCCCTGTACTCAGTTCCTGCCCCCCCCCATGTCTCCCACATGCTCGGCTCCCTAGTTTGCAGATGCACATAATGTATTTCTCTCAAGCTGCACTTGTACATCTGCTTATTTTTCATTTTTAAAACATGTTTTCTAGATAAATTTATAAATATTTTAGCAGGTGTCCTTTCCCCGTATAAATCTCTCTCTAGCACACATACCCACGCTGCCTGCCAGATTGCATTCATATCAGGACATGCACAGTTCCTGTGTCAGGGACCTGCTCCTCTCTCCCTCCCCTTCACTTCTCCTCCAAGCTTGCCTCAGCTTGCCCGCAAGACTGGCAGAGGGCTGGCTACCACTCTCCTCACACGGCTACGGACATCCCATTTCTTGGGCTGCTATAGTGGTAGATAGATTAGATAGATAGATAGATAGATAGATAGATAGATAGATAGATAGATAGATAGATAGATAGATAGATAGATAGATAGATAGAGATATAGATAGATAGATAGATAGATAGATAGATAGATAGATAGATAACTATAATGTGTGAGTGTCATGAACCCTTTCCACACTTCCTCACACAAATATTGACAGTATAACTTGAATTTGTCTCCTCTTCGGGGCTAAACTCATCTCTCAGGGGGTGACAAGGGTAAGAAATCCAGGAGCATATTTAGAATTTGTTTAATAGGAGAAACATCTTAGAACCGTGGGCTGGTATATTAGAGCACAGACTCCACGTGTCCGTCCCTGCCCCTCCATCCAGTACCCAGGGCTGATCCCTGCTCAGGACTCAGAGCGTGGTTCCCAGTGTCCTACAGAGGATGTGCCGTCTCCAGTCTGCTGAGCTCTAGAAGCTGGGGAGTCCGCTGGTCAGGTCTACCACACAAAGCCGCTGATAAGCTGTCTTGTTTGCTTGCTTGTTTTTCTGTAAATAGGCTTTCTTCTTCATAATAGTTTTAGACTCCTAGCAAAACTGAATGGAGTATCGGGGGTTCCCAAATGTCCCTGACTCTGGACACTCCCGACAAGAGCAGAATGTTTGTTGTGAAGGACGAGCCTGCGTTCACATACCATGTTCATCTAACACCCTGCTCTAGAGTTCACACTATTGTGCACTGTATGAGTTTGCACAGGGCGCTGACAGTGCCGTAGTGTATGGAGTAGATTCACGGGCGCCACCCTCTCTCCCTCCCACCCTTGACCCCTGGCCGCTTGCTGGCGTGTTTTTGGTTTGGTTTGGGTTTTTTTTTTTTTCTCTTTTGTTTTGTTTTGGTTTTTTCCCTATCTTTTTCAAAATATCAAACAGGCCGGGAGGTGGTGGCGCACGCCTTTAATCACAGCACTCGGGAGGCAGAGGCAGGCCGATCTCTGTGAGTTCGAGGCCAGCCTGGTCTAGAAGAGCTAGTTCCAGGACAGGAACCAAAAGCTACGGAGAAACCCTGTCTCGAAAATTAAAATAAAAATTTTAAAAAAATCAAACAGTTAGTTGACTTTTTTTTTACCCCACAAAAATAGTAACCTAACATATTAGGGGAAGATTTTTCGACTCTAAGATTTGGAACCACGAGTTTTCCAGTCAGTTCCTACAAACTCCAAACTCCAGGAGAGGGGAATGTCACTTGACTCTCTACAGCTTTACTGTTGGCGGTGACTGACTCGGCCTGTTGCTTCCTGGGCCACAGAGGGAGGAACACCACCTGGGTGTCAGTGCCCATGTGGTAAGGCAGCTAGCCGCTCAGCTGTGACGTGTGACAGAAGTGTGTGAAAGCCACAGTCCCTGGACAATGTGCCTTAACGTGCTAGATTCTGGACTAGTCGATCTGAAGTTAGGTTACAATACAGGATGCCAAAACAAAGGTTTGAGAACCCTCTGAAATGAGACTTCGTGTCCTTTCGCGCAGGCTTGATCAGGCCTTCTCGTTTCTTCCTCCCAGGTGTGTGAGAAAGAGAAGCTGTTGTCAGAAAGGAATCAGCTGAAAGCATGCATGGGGGAGCTCCTGGACAACTTCTCCTGCCTCTCACAGGAGGTCTGCCGAGACATCCAGAGCCCAGAGCAGATCCAGGCCTTGCACCGATACTGCCCTGTCCTCGTACCCATGGATCTCCCCGGAGCCAGTGTTAACCCCCCTCCTTTGGGGGTCGAGCAGAGCCTGGCACCCTCCCAGTGTGCAGCAGGAGGAAACGTACCCTGCTGCCTGGAGCCAGGGGCAGCTGCGCCTGGGCTCCCCTGGGTGCCCAGCAACACCTCTGAGAATTGTACCTCTGGGAGGAGACTGGAAGGCACTGACCCTGGGACCTTCCCGGAAAGAGGACCTCCTCTAGAAGCCAGGAGCCAGTCCGTGACCGTGGACTTCTGCCAGGAAATGACTGAGAAGTGTACGACAGACGAACAGCCCAGGAAAGATTACGCCTAGCCGGTACGGTCAGCCCTGCCTCCAGTCCTCACACCGCTCCGGTCAGGCGTTCCTCTGCCGGCCAGTGGCGCTGTTCATCTGTGTCTCGAAGGACCAAGAGCAAATCTGGTGCACACTACAGCAGTCTTAGCAATACTGTTCCGAAGTATTCCCTCCTCTCCGTAAGCAGGAGTGCCGGTTACCTTCACAATGGTGCTACCCCTTGCCCCGGCAAGGAAGACAGCAGTGCGGACACTGTCTGTCTGTGGGTTCATTGCAGACTTCACAGGGATAGACTACACCTCTAAGACCCAACCACGGATTTTTTTTCTCAGTGGCCCATGTCACAAACCCTATCTCAGGAATTTCTTCTGAATGTTCAATTTTTTTCATTGAAGACAGCTTCTATACACATCAAAGTTTTATAGCTATACTGTACATATTATATATAATATATATGAAATATATATCCATATGCAAAAGTCCTGCATGCCTCAATTTTCTCATCCTAAAACTGGAAACTTTGTTTATCATTTACAAAAAAAAAAAAAACAGGTTCCAACATTCCTCTTTTGTCTCTGATGCCAGAACTGGTTTTGTAACTGTCAACACGGTCATTTTTCTTGCTTCACAGTTCAGTTTCAATCTGTACTTATTTACAGACAAAATTCAATGTTGGAAGCTTTTTCTCAAGGTTTAATCTCAGACCTTTTACTTTTGTGGGTTTGGTTCCGACACCACCGAATGGTGTCGCGTGAGCATCGTGGGTCTGTTCTTTTCTCCTTGTGTTCTCTCTTGTTGTTACAGATACTGTACAGCAATGGCCAACTGTGCCACTTGCACTGAGTTTTGAGTCAAACCTATTTTCTTAAATGAAGTTGTAACTTCAGTCTAACTCAAGTATATTGTATGTTCTTTGCTTTTAGTTAAAAAGTAAAACATTTTAGCTAATTTAAAAAGCTCTCAGGTGATAATTATGTAGAAAAAAAAAACCAATCTTGCCAAATAATGAACCCATCCTAGGATGTGTAGACAACAATCTGCTTGACTATTTTTGTAGCTCACTTACTCCCCACCTTCCCTAAGTAAAAGCTGAAGTGCAGAGAAATCAGCGCTGACACTGGATGTTCAGTTCCTACGTGGGGAGAGAATGTGATGGCTCACGGGACTGATATCAAAGGAACAGGATCCTGTGGCGTGGGAGAACCCACAGGCAGAGGTGACAAGAAAGCCAAGGGAGACCGGCTTCCTTACCCAGGGAGGAATCCCGTTCATGTTGGCATTTCGTTCCGGCCTCCACGTGCGTGTGTGCTCAGAAATGTCCGCTTCTCTGAGGGGCACAGCTAACCAGCCAGTCTCCCAACTTTCCTGCCCAGACCTGAGGGTATTTGAATCATAGCCTCGGCCCCCTGTGTTAACAAGCTCAGTGAGAATAGGAAAGAACACGGCAGCATCGAGCCTGAGATCCACGTGGGCAGAGGCTAATGGGCCCTTTTCCTTCTGTTCTTCAAATGCTCCCTGTACCATGAGGGTTTTGTCTCCCCCCCACCCCATATCCCATCCCTTCTCTGAAAGCCCGCTTCGTTCAAGGCATTGAACAGATACCCCTAGGAGCCCTCTGCCCATCCCCAAAACCCTCCCCTCCACACACACCTTTTCCTCCCCAGATAACAGTCTGCTTCCCTTGCTGAAAACTAGTTTGCTTGCAAACCTAGAGAGCAGCTTCCTTGGCACTAAGGTATCCTGGCCCAAGCCATGTTTACGGAATGTGTGCCCCAAGGAGGCGTCAGCTCCCTCCTCCCAGTGGTCTCTTTCTTCTCTCGGCTCACTCGGTAGCCTGGAGACCGCTCCAGCTGTGCGAAGTTGTCCGGAAAACTGATGTTGGGATAGGGTAGAGGGTCGTGGGGGATAGACAGTTGGTTGACTTTGTTTCCTCATCTGTGCCATTGTTCTTGGACAATATTAAAGCTGCATGCGAAAGGGGAAGTTAGTGTATGGCTAGTAGGCAAAGGTAGAACCCTGGCAACATATGTTCTAGTATTTTTTTAGCTTCTTTCTGTACCAGTAGTAGTGCTAAATGTTTAAAATATGTACGAATGCCAGAAGCTGTTGGTTCGTGCAGTAGAATTTAAGGGGGAAATGACTTCTTTTAAAATAGGTCCATTTTTGAAACCTGCCTCTGAGTTTTGAGTATGTGTGGTGTGTGCGTGTGTGCGTGTGTGTACAGATTTTGATACAGCGGGGCTGGAACTGCCATCCTCATCACGCCATTGGCGTTTCTTGGTCTAGTCCAACGGTTCCCTGCTTCACCAGGAGGCCAGCCTTCGTGAAAAGCTGGTAAAGCTAGCATTTAACCTAATGTGAATCACGTGATGCCCACAGCTGCCTATGACCATGCAGGAGTCAGCAGACAGTATTTTTTTTTTCTTTCTCTTAACTCTCTGATTGCCTTTTGAAGTGACCTCTTCTAAAGAAACACAAAGGCTTGTTTTCCGCTCGGGCGGTCAGCAGCGCAGAACAGCCTCTCGGCTTGTCTTGTGCTGTCCTGTGCCGCATTCCACAGTTTACCCCCAAGTTTCTGTGTCACCAGTAGCTCGGCCCTGTGTGGTTCCTAGGGTGGGGGCTGGGGGCCGGGTCTCCTCATTTCTCTCCGCCCTAACCCCACTCTCTTCTTCCTTCTATTAGCCTCTCCACCATTTTTTTTTCCCTCTTCTTCCACCCAATCTCTGCCATGGGAACTAATCTTTAAAACTTACTCTAAAAACTTACTCTATTACGTTGGTATTTTTAACAAGTGATCTCATTCAGTACCCACCAGGAACGGCAGCTGACTGTGTGTAATTGCTCATGGGACATATCTGTCCGTTACCGTTCCAAACCATTGCTTATCAAAAGCGTACCTGGGTTGATTCAAAGGGAAGGCTCACTGGGGACCAGAATCTTAAATTCTTCAAGTAGAATTCAGAAACCCCCCCCAATCTGTCCTTCCCTGGGGTCCCTCTGTCCGTCTCGTTCTCTCTATAGAAAAGAGAAGGGACGAGAACAGAGGAGAGTGTTTGCATATTAAGGGGACATTTAGTTGCATGTTTGAAGGTCTTTTCTTTTGAGGATATAGGACACTCCAATCACAGGCTGTATAGGAGGGTCACAGTGGCAGCCTGGTTGGGTTTCCCTGAGGCTGAGGGGTGAATGTGAAGGTCCAGGGCTGGCACAGGTGACGCTAAGACTGACAGAATCCTTCCCAGACACAGCCCTCCCTTGGAGCAGCCTTTGTCTCCCTGTGTCAGGTTGCCCAGGCTGTAGGCAGCTGTGTGCTTAGCCATGTGTGTTTATTTCTCTGCGTTATCTGGGGGTGCCTTGAATAAAGTCGAAACTTCATGACTTCCTGATTCTGGAACAAAGCAGTTATTAAAAAAAAAAAAAAACTTTTTTAAAAGTTGGCAGAGTTACTAGGCCATCCTGCTACTTCTCTCCCAGGTTCCCTCACAATGACTCAGGCGTCAGGCGTGATGCTGCAGTAGAAAAGCGTTGTTTTTATGTCATACAAGTAATTTATTTGCTGTCTCTCTCAAGGTATGCTGCTTCTTAACATGCACTATAACTCTGGATGTAATCCTTGCATTACTTTGCCAACGAAGGTTTAAGATGGCTAGTGACTAGTGTGCTAACTGCCCCTTCTCCTGGAAGGAGCTCCAGGGCACACGCAGGACCTGCGTGGAGGACTGGCTGAAGCCTACACTTGTGTTCTAATAGCTTATGGTTTGCCACTAGAGAAGAAAAGATGAAGCATACAAAGGCTTGAAAGTATAAACCTTTTCAGAAATTGCCCAGTCTTGCCCCAGGGGCTGCTCTGCAGCCAATGGAATCACAGAGTCCTCCCAAATGAGTCAGTCTGTCCTTGATTGCATATTTCTGGTGGCCCACTTAAACCAGGAGCTGTTGATTGATTGTTGACTCCAAACTGCTCCGCTGTTGCCTACAGTGGAGGGGGACTCTCGGATCTCGACGAGAGCAAGAATCAAGGTTTCTCCTCAGATCTCTCTCTCTCCCTCCTCAATACCCCCACCGCACGTGTGCACGCACGCACGCGCGCGCACACACACACACACACACACACACACACACACAGCAGACTAAAGTAAGGGATTATTTTGAAAGAATAAAGCTCTTTGTTGTATCATGAGTTCGTATTTCCTTGAGGATTTTGTTGCAGATTCCATTTCTGGCGAGTCAGTCCGCAAATGCCTTGTAGGGTTGGTATTCATAAAGGAAGTCTGTGCATGGAGTTATTTTGTGTTCAAAATGTATAATACTGCCCGAGCCATCTCATGACCCAAGTGTCAAAAGACTGATGCTGTAGCATAGGATATATTTGTGCATAAGTAGTGTGTGCAAATAGTACTTGTACATTGAAGAGACTTGTCGTAGCAGATCAAAGGTAAATTATTCAACTGATGGTGCAAAAACATTACTTGCAAAGTAATTGTATAGTATTTTCCTACACTCCACCCTGGGAGATCATATTTATAACAAGTGAATTATTAGTGCATTTTAATTGTAATATGAAATGATGCTGCCATTTTGTGAAGAATACCCACTTGGTTGCAAAGGCCAACTTTTATAGCTTTGGTTTGATGTCGTGGCATGGTGTATGCATTTCTCTATCAAGCGATGGATAAACTCTTGGCTTTCATTTTCATTCCAGTTTATTGACCTCAGATAAAACAATGGCTATTCATGGAAGTGTATCAAGACCACTCGTTTCAGGTAGACTCACACTCAGTGCCAAACGCTCCCGTGGGAATAATCAAACATATATCAGGAAAAAGTGAAGGGACTTGGACAAAAATGGGTTTTCCTACAGATGGGTGCTAAATCTTCTACCAAACATGTCTCTGGGGGCAAAGAGTTGGCCTCCCCTTGGGTCCTGACCACGTATTTTGGCTGTGGCAATGCTGGGATGCCCCTTCACACTCTGACACAAGAGCCTGGCACTTGTAATGAATTTATCAGGAAGATTGCAGATGCATTTGGGAGCTTCGGGTACTCAATAGACACGGTGAGCCATTCAAGGCAAGAGGGCCTGTGGGAATTTGTTCCAGAACCAGTCTGATGCAAGTGCACCTCTGATATATGCCTTACGAACTCCAGAGGCCATATGCAAAACAGGGTCTTCTCAGTGTATGCAAGGGGCTGCAGCCCCTCCTCTCCTCCTCCCCAGCTCAAACAATACGGACAGTTTTCACACATATCTACCTGTATAACCCTCCGTACCTCTCATAACTGGTCAACGACTGTAACAGGTTACATCAGGTGTTTTTCTACATAACTTTTTACACAGATTCTATGCGATTAATGTAACTTAATTCAACGCATCATTTTATTGTACAAGTTCTTACGCTTGGCCTTATTTTTTCCTAAGTGATTGTGGTTTTTCTTGTGGTTTTTCTTGTAAAGATATTGAGATGGCTGTTGATGCTTATTCTCTGTAACTAAGAATTTTTACCTTTTTGGGGAAAAGCATTGCTATGGATTAATGAATTGAGACTTCATTTACTCGTTGTAAATACACTATTGTGCAAAAAAAATCACTCAGTTGAATTGCTAGTGTTAACTGAATTTTGTCTAGACGCCATTTCTGTTGATGAAATAAAGACATATCATTCTGCATTGTAAAAGTCTCTGATCCTGCGTTAAATTTTGCAGAGTAGAAAACCTCAAGTTTTCTCCACAAAAGGCCATCTCTTGCCCTGTGATTGGACCTTTCCTGTTTCCTGACTGATAAGATGAGAAATCTTAAGAATTTAGTAATGTGCCAGGTGGTGGTGGCTCAAGCCTTTAATCCCAGCAGGCAGAGTTTCTGTGAGTTCAAGGTCAGCCTGGTCTACAGAGCGAGTTCCAGGACAGGCTACAAAGATACACAGAGACACCCGGACTCAGGGGGGAAAAAAAAAAGATAATGCTATTTTTAACATGAATTTTAAAAAATCCCATTGCACATGAAATTGGATAACAGATGTTAGAACCACTTCCACTTTCGATACCCCACTGTAGCTGTGCAAACGTTGCCGTGGATAATAAACTGTTTTTTACAACTCTGCGTGAATCTACAATTACATCGAGGGTTGACTAAAAGGAAGCCAGGTGTAGTGACACATACCCAGGTCCAGTTACTCCGGAGGCTGAAACAGCATCACTCTCAAGTGATGCTTACATGATTAAAGCGGTGCTTAAATGCTCACATACACATTTAAGGCCAGGATGGGAACATAGTGAGTGTTAGTATTCAGGCATCTGCACTGGCCTGCCCTTGGGGTCCTGACAGGATAACCTCAGCTGCAGCCACTAAGCACCTCCTGCGCACATTCGTTATTTTCCCTTTTAAAAAGTGGGTCTTGCCCACCGCCTCTCTCCCCCTCCCCCTCTCCCCACCACCCTTTCTTTCTTACCATTCTTGTTCCCAGGGACCAGTCTCTGCCCCATCTCTGTCCCTTTTCTGTCCCGTCTCTCTCCTTTTCCAATAAACTTTCCATGTGAGCCCTGTCCTATGGCGTCTCTTTCTTTCTCACACACCTTTTTTAAAATTAGAACAATGAGGCTGCCATCTCGACGATTTAAGTGAGAGTAAATGAGAACGTAACGGCGAACAAATAGCACGTGTGATGGTTTTACCAAGGACAGAAGTTGACGGTTGTGGTCAGGGAATACACGCGAGCTAGGAAGATGTATTCCGTGACCAGTGTCTGCATTGTGGGCAGACCAATCAGAGCAATACATTTTTACAGAGTGTATAAATATCACCTTAGCATAAACTAAGGCCAAGTTTTCATAATGAATAAACAGTCTCCATGTCGTTATTAGAGAACTAGCAATGTAAAGAAAGACCCGTAAGAGTGTAGCTCAGCGGTGCAATACCTGCCTGCTATGTACAAAGCTTTGAATTCAATTTCCATTACTGTAAATAAAAATAGAGGGAGTATTCTAGCTTGCTTTATACGGCTGTGATAAAACACTGCCAAACGCAACCTAGAAAGGAAAGGGTTGATTTCATCTTTAGCTATCTAGGTAATAGTCTGTAGAAACTAGCTCGATTTGGAGGCAGACAATCCCTTAGCTGAAGTTCCCTCTTCCTGCAGGACTCTAGTTTGTGTGAAGTTGATAAAAACTAACCAGGACAGGGAGGGAGGAAGACGTTGATTTCTGGGATTGCCGATGCATCTAGCACGCACCTCTCCGACAAAGAATACATACTGTTGTGAGGCACAGTGAGGCATCCTTGTAACCCTAGCTTCTTGGAAGACTTGGAAGGAGGACAATCCGAGGCTGTGAACTGCCAGGTTTGGTGGCAGGTGCCCTTACCTGCCAAAACCCTGTTTCCAAGACACTGTTTGAAACAGCAGAAGAGCTGACTCAACAAACAAAGGCCCTTTCTATACAATGTGAGGACCAGAGTTAAAATCCCAGCAGCCACACGACCGAGTGTGGTCTCCATGCAATCTTGTGACCCCAACACTGAGCAGGGCAGGCAGAGATAGAGGATCACTGAGGCTTGCCGACTGCCAGCCTACTTGGAAACAAATTCCAAGGTCAGGAAAGGACCCTGCCTTGAAGGAATGAGGTGGATAATGACAAAAGAGGATACCTGGTGCCCTACCATGGCCTCTGCACATGTGCAAACAGGTGCACATGCATGCACCCACCCCCCTACCCCACACACAATTTACACATAGCAGTCAATTAAATGGGCAAGGAAGTACAAGTAAATGACCAATAGATGAAAAAAATGCTCGGGGGCTGGAGAGATGGCTCAGTGGTTAAGAGCATTGCCTGCTCTTCCAAAGGTTCTGAGTTCAATTCCCAGCAACCACATGGTGGCTCACAATCATCTGTAATAAGGTCTGGTGCCCTCTTCTGGTCTGCAGACATGCACACAGATAGAATATTGTATACTAAATAAATAAATAAATAAATAAATGAAAAAAGAAAAAAATGCTCAACATCCTTAGTCATCAGGAAAATGCAAATCAAAACTACATTGAGAATTCATTGCACCACAGTCAAGAAAGCAAACAACAAATTCTGATGAGGATGGGTGGAGAAGAGGTCTTGACTAGGGCTAGTGAGAATATGGTCAACCTACTATGGAAATCAGCATGGAGAGGCCTCAGAAAAAAAAAAAAAAAAACACTGTAAGATCTACCTATGCCACTCCTGGGTGCTATGTCTAGAGGTCCCAGGTCCACACCACAGTGACAATTGCACAGTCATATATTTATTCCTGAATACTCTCCACAATAGCCAAGATATGGAACAGCCTAGATAACCAACAGATGGACCAATACCAAAGTATGGTGTACATACACAATGAAGTTTTATTCCGGCATAAGGAAGTAAAGTATGTTATTTACAGAAAAAAAAATGAATAGAACTGGAGATCATTGCATTGAACAAAATAAGCCAGACTCGGAAAAACAAATTGTGTTTTTACTCATTTTCAGGATCTAGCCTTAAATGCACGCATATATACACAACCCAAAAATAAAAGAACTATTTGGATGGATGAGGAGGACCAATAGGAGGGAGAGGTGCAAACAAGAAAGGATGATAGAGAAACAGGAGAGGGTGATTATTGATGGCTATGAGGTAAGCACGTGATATTTATGTATGGAAGTGTCCCATGAAACCTATTATTTTGTACCTCACAAAAATGTTAATTAAAAAAATCATAAAATAAATAATAATCTATCCCAACCAATATTACCTGATGCTGTAATCACAGGACTGAAACAAAGAAAGGTGTGTTGGGGAGAAGGGTTGGTTAAGTAGGTGCTGGAGTTATTTCCATGAGAAATAACAAATCCCCATGCCAGATGCCACGGTAGGTACCTGTGGTATTTCCAAGTACTTGGGAGGCTGAGACAGAGACACCACTTGAGGCCAAGAGATAAAGACTAGCCTGGGTAACATCCTGAAATCATGTTTGGAAGGAGGGAAGAAAGAGAAAGGAGGAAAGAAGGAAGGTGGGTGCAGAGAGGGAGGGAGGGAAGGAAAGGAGAAACTGGGCACTTACAAGGCAGGGACAGGTAAGTAGACCTGAAAGGGTCTACCAAGAAAGGGAAGAAGGAAAGGGTGTTAGAGTGTGTTCTGTTGCTGTGATAAAACATTGATCAGAACCAACTTGGGGTAGGGGGGGGGCTTTCTTTTAGCTTACAGGTTACAGTTTTCTACTCCCCAGGCCCACCCGCTCAAGGGTGGCACTGCCCACAGTGGACCCGGCCCTTTCACGTCATTCATTATTGCCTACAGACCGATCTGATGGAGCCAGCTCCTCCTTTGAGATTCTCTTTTCTCTGGGGTGTACAGATTTGGGTCAAGTTGATGAAAGGTAGCAAGCACTGAGAATGGTGGTGCAGGCCTTAATCCCAGCACTTGGCAGATAGAGGAGTGAGTTCAAGGCCAGCCTGGGTTACCTGTCAAATTTCAAGCCAGCCAGAGAAAGAGAGCTACATAGTGAGTCCCAGTCTTAAAAACAAACAAAAACTAACAAGCCCAGAAGGAAGAAAAGGAAGGGGGAAGGGAAATACTGAGCTTAGTGAGACACTGAAGACATTGAAGGGATGAAAGAAAGGAGAGAGGGAGGGGAGGGAGGGAAAGAGAGACCAGGCACTAACCCAGGCAGGTACAGGGTAAATGGGACTCTGTGAGCCATGTAGCACATGAGCGACCCAAATTTATCTCACAGGATGTCTTAGTGAGGGTTTCTATTGCTGTGATGAAACACCATGACCAAAGGGCAAGTTGGGGAAGGGTCTAGTTGGCTTATACTTCCATATCACTGTTTATCATGAAGGAAGTCCGGGAAGGAACTCACACAGGGCAGGAACCTGGATGTAGGAGATGATGCAGAGACCATGGAGGAGTGCTGCTCACTGACTTGCTCCTCATGGCTTGCTCAGCCTGCTTTTTTATAGAACCTAGGACCACCAGTCCGAGGATGGCACCACCCACCGTGAGCTGAGCCATCCCACACGAATCACTAATTAAGAAAATGCCTTACAGGCTTGCCTAAAACCCAATTCTATGGAGGCATTCTCTTAGTTGAGGCTCCCTATGACTTTAGCTTGTGTCAAGTTGGCACACAACTACCAGCACACAGGGCATGGACACAGAGATGACAGAGCTTCACGACTTTGAGCCACATCGATTCTTCTTATGACTTGAAGTCTTTGCAGGGTATATGGCCAGGGTTTCAGGGCAATCTGGTCATGTGTTAAAGAGCTAAGGAACTCTTTCCACGACCCACCATGACACTCTGCACAGTGGGGGCCACGTGTCTCTCAACACTCCTCTCCTAGATAGCTCGTGACCACAGGGAGGGTGAAGACAAGACAGTACCTCCTAGTAACCCCTGGAAGTAATTTTTGGATCGCAGTCAACATTTGCCGTCACTGACAATGAGCGGCAGCAGCAGGAATATAACCAGGTCATGGATGCATTGGCCCAGTGTTTTAAGTCATTGCTGAATTTCGACAGCATTGACAAAGCAAAATTCCATTTGCTTCATGCTCACAAAGCAAACTGATGAGAGACATCACATGGTCAGTTTCTTGTCGGCCTTTCCCTTATAGACATGAAGTAGGCTCAAGCCCAGGATGAGTTTGGAGCCTCCAGTTTGCACTGGAGCCATGTTAAAGGGACCCCTGTCTGCCGCTGCAGATTTTGGGTGTCCCACTGAGCTGCTTGGGAGTGGGGAAGGGGGAGGGCATTCTAATCTTCAGGGCGGGAGCTGCACAGTTGTCTGTAGATCCTTGTGTCTCATCATTCCTCCCTAGGGGATCTTCACACCCACCTCTAGCCCCGTGAGCAGGTGAAGCTGAAAGAGGCTGCCTCCAGCCCCAGGAATGAGCAGGCCCAGCTGAAAGAGGCTCCCTCCAGCCCTGGAAAGGGGTCCAGCAGAAGTGAACCTACCTGCCTGCCAGGTGCGCCCAGCACTCGCTGCAACTATAACAAAGACCCAAGATAAATAACTTACAAAGTGGAAAGGGTTGTTTTGGCTTGCAGGTTTAGAGGTTTCAGCCCGTGGCCAGTTGAACTCATCGCTTTGGGGGCTGTGGTGAGGCAGCAAGTCTTGGAGGGAGCATGTGACAAAACTTACCTTGTAGCCAGAATGCAAAAGAAAAGAGAAGGGAGCCAGACATGGTAACCATGCCTTTAGTCCCAGCACTTGAGAGGGAGAAGCAGACAGATCTCTGAGTTAGAGAACAGACAGCTCTACATTAGAGTTCCAGGACAGCAGAACTAAGAAGAGAGCTCCTGTCTATAAAGAATGAATGAATGAATTCATGAATGAACAAATAATGAATGAAGGAATGAATAAATATATAAATAAACTAATAAATATATAAGGTAGGAAAAGGAGAGGGGCTGCAATCCCACATTTCCTTCAAGGGCACATCTCTGGTTAACTAAGAGTTCTCACGAGGGCCTCTTGAAGGCTCCACAGTCTCCAAGATCAAGCCTTTAACACACGGGCCTGGGAAGACACTCCAGAGCCAAACACCCTGGCCAGCAGTGCGGAGTTCTTCCAGCTGGAGATGACCAAGGCATAGCTTCCATCCTGTAGATGGCAAGAGCTCTCAGTGCGTTATTTTTTCATAATAGATGAAAGTTCTAGAAGCATGTTCTGAAAGAGAATTAAAAAACAGACTCAAAAGCTTGTGACGTCAATTCTGCTTGGAGATCTGCATCACAAACAGCAAGGATCCAAAGCCTGCAGCACAGTGTAGGTCTGTACAGTTCGCCCGTCCCGGAAGTGCAGCATGGAAATGGTTCCGCCCACTAACCTTAGCAGTAAAGGACTGGCTCCCACCTGCAACAGCCCCCTCTTTCTCCTTTTCCCTCTGTGTTGTCTGTCCAAATGCCAAAGGCTAAAGCGCAGATCAGCCTTCTCCCCAACTCCACTGTAACTATTCTCCAATTAGCCTGATCTTCAAAGGGGAAAGTGTCAGGTCCAAAGAAACTCAGGATGAGCTGGATGGTGGCCCACGCCTTTAATCTCAGCACTTTGCCCGGTCTACAGAGCAAGTTCCAGGACAGCCAGAGCTACACAGAGGAACCCTGTCTAGGAAAACTAATGCACAAAAAAGAAACTCGGGACAAATGACTGTGGTGCCTGTTAGTGTGTCAAAGCTCATGCCGGCTTCCAGACTTCCTCGGTTTCGTCACAGACACCTGTGGCTCTCTGCACCTCTTTCACCCCACCCCTGCCCAAAACTTCTCCAGGTGGTGGGTTTTCCTCCCCTAGCTTCTCTTTCCTTTATGACCCTTCCTTTTCAGCTCTGCACTCTCTTAGACCCCCTCCTTGCTCTCCTTGGCCTGTACTCTCTGTCTTCCTTTCTCCCGATCCTACCCGCCACCTGCATCTCATGGCCCCACCCATGAGGTTGTGTTCCTTTACTGCTTTCTCTCTGTGCTCTGAACTGTCCCAGATGCCTCTGGCTGTACTCTTTCTCATATGTACAGTAAAAACCTTCCCCTCAGCCATAGCTTAGGGCAGTCATGGCCTCAGTTTCTACATTGGTGCCAAAACCCTCAGTTTATACAGAAAGTAATTCAAGCCGGGCGGTGGTGGCGCACGCCTTTAATCCCAGCACTTGGGAGGCAGAGGCAGGCGGATCTTTGTGAGTTCGAGACCAGCCTGGTCTACAAGAGCTAGTGCCAGGACAGGCTCCAAAACCACAGAGAAACCCTGTCTCGAAAAAAAAAAAAAAGAAAAGAAAAGAAAAAAAGAAAGTAATTCAAATATAGAATGCTGGATTTGGGTTTGGAGCGATGGCTCGGTGGCTAAGGGCACTTGCCGCTCTTGCAGAGAACTAGCCTTCAGGTCCCAGCACCCATGTCACCTGGCTCCCAGCCATCTATAACTCCAACTTCAGGGGTCCAAAGCCCTCTTATGGCCCCTGCAGGATGAGCAAGGATCAGGTTGAACTTGGATTGAAGCAGATATCCTTAGAACAAAATACAGGCATATTCACAAATCCAATAAATACTAACTTAGCCCTAACTGCTATGATTTTTATGCTGGCCTGCTCTGTCATCTGGGTACCCTGTCCCTTTAAGAGGCAAGCTCCTCTCTCTCTCTCTCTCTCTCTCTCTCTCTCTCTCTCTCTCTCTCTCTCTTTTCTTCCCTCTGAGCCCACCTGGGCCCCTTTCTTTTTCTCTCTGCCCGCTGTCTTTCTGAGGAAGCAGCTTTCTGTCTCTCTCCCCTTCCGTTCTCTCTTGCTTTCCCTCTCTCTCTCTGTCCCTCTATTTCTCTCTCTTTCTCTCTCACCCCCCATACACCCTATCATCCCATACCCTCCCACTAAATAAACCCAAGCTCTCTCTGCATGACGTATCTGTCTGTCCCTTACCTGCTGCTATCCCTAACACCAGCAGGGGGACCCGCCAGGGTCACTTGTGCCATAAATCATAACACCCTGTCCCAAGAACTATGTCTCTCCAAACTTAATTGTGCTGCCTTGGTACACGTAACTCACATCCTTACCCAAACCATGGAAATGGTCATGGCTGACCAACAAGGAAGCCGTCGAGACTACAGCCAGGCCCTCGCTAAACTGGGGGGGACGATCTTCACTTGCTCTGTTTGGTTTTCCTCCTCTTTAGCAATTGATAAATAATGAAAGTTTGTAGGCCAGAAGTTTAATAAACCATAACAAATCTCCCTTCAAATATCCTTATTAATAATGCTGAGCAGACCCAAGCATACATCCAGGATAGAAACTGGTATACCCCAACACCCACCTACCCCATCTATTGGAGTGTGTGAAGGGACTGGTTGGGTAGAACCACAGCCACAGGATCCCCATGACTTGGGCAACAGCAGCAGGATATCAGAGAGGAGTGTCGATGAGGGTCCAGTACTGATGGTGTACCAAAACCAGAGGCCTTGACCCTGACCAGCAACTCATTACACAATGAACATTTGCAAGTAAAGCTGTTTGGACAAAAGGGTCTGTCTAGTGCACGACACACAGCAGCTCCCAATGCCAATGAATGAAGAGGTGATGGAGAGGTGGGAAAGAGGTATGGAGTGTTTTTCTTTTATTTTTTATTATTGCTTATTTTTATCTTATTTTAATTCTTTTTTAGCTCTCCTTAGGGAGGCACTACGGGAGTGAGGGGTAGATATGGAGGGACTGGGAGATGAGTGGGATTGGGGAGCATGATGTGAATTTCCCAAAGAATCAATAAAAATGGAAAAAGAATTAAAAAAAAAACAAAAACAATTCAAAATGTAAAAACATATAATAATAATAATAATGTAGAGACACCTGGGTATGGTGGCACACTCTAATCCCAGCACTTGGCAGGCAGAGGCAAGTGGATCTCTGAGAGTTCCAGGCTGGCCTGGTCTGCAGGATGAGTTCTGGGAGAGCCAAAGTTTTGTGGAGAGATCTTGTCTCAAGAGAAAACAAATTGAGCCAGGTGGTGATGGTGCACGCCTTTAACCCCAGCACTCAAGAGACTGAGACAGCCATTTCTCTGTGAGTTTGAGACCAGCCTGGTCTACAGAATGAGTTCCGGGACAGGCTCCAAAGCTACACAGAGAAACCCTATCTCAAAAACCAAAAAGAAAAAAAAAATTTTTTTTGAGAAAAATTTCCTTCTTTGCTGGATAGTTTTATGTCAATTTGACTCAAACTACAGTAATCTGAAAGAAGGGAAGGGGACCGCAATTGAGAAACCCTCCAAAGACTGGGCTGCAGGCAAGCCTGTAGGACATTGTCTTAATTAGTGGTAGAGGTGGGAGGCTCAACCCATTATTGATGGGGAACTTCAGCCAATCACATTCTGTTTAGGGTGTGTCCCCCTGGGGCCACAAAAAAAACCCAGATAAATAAAATATCCAGGTGCGCTTGCCTCTTCCTCTTTTGTTCCCTGCCCAGCGCTCCTGGATCGCTGGAACCCTGGGTTTGTAAGTTCTCTTTCTTTTGTTTATTAAGAGCTAAATCTATTATATTAAACTGGTCTGGTTAATTCTAAATACCGATCGACCACGCCCCTTCACATTGTGGGTCGTGGTGCCACCACACACACACACATTCCCTTTTTTAGAGTTTTTTTTATTATTGTACATCTTATTGTGTTTATTTCTTAAACTAATTTTTTAGGTTAGCGCACAAAGATTTAGGCTTCATCGTGGCATCTTGGCACATGTGTGGCACTACGTTCTCATTTGTTTCCTGCCCCCATTCCTCTCTCCAGCTTCAGCCCCTTCCCTCTCTTCTCCCCGTGAGTCCCCTTCTGCTTTCCTCTGACCTATCCTGCATCACCCTCTTTCCTTCCCACTTCCCTTTGTGAATTCTTCCTTTTCTTTTCTAGTTCCATGACCTACAAACACATATATAAATATGCATATGTATTCATGTATATATAAATTTAAATCTGGGTTATATATGTGAGATAAAATGTGACATTTGGCTTTCTGACTCTGGCTTCCATCACTCACTTTAATGAGTTCCAGTTGTCATGATTTCACTTTTCTTTACACCTGCACGAAATTCCATTATGTATATAGACCACACATTATGTTGCCCTAGCAAGTCTAGGAGAGTCATCTTACCTAGGGTGAACATTAGAATGAAATCATTGTTTTCCACTGTATCTAGGGTACACATCAAGATGAACAGTTGTTTTCTAGAAGTACTTAGACCTTGAAGAAATTGCTGTGAAAAACAGTGATTGTTCTATCTATGGAGTATATGATTGGGGGGGGGTTATTATTATCATTTTTTTGATAAAGTGTTTCTCAGTGTAGCCCTAGCTATCATGGGGAACTTGTTCTTTTTTTTTTTCTTTTTTCTTTTTTTTTTTTTTTTTTTTTTTTTTTTTTTTTTTTTTTTGACTTTAAAAAAAAAAAAAAAAACACATTGAATTATAACAAATGATTTTTGGTTTTTCGAGACAGGGTTTCTCTGTGGCTTAGGAGCCTGTCCTGGCACTAGCTCTGTAGACCAGGCTGGTCTCGAACTCACAGAGATCCGCCTGCCTCTGCCTCCCAAGTACTGGGATTAAAGGCGTGCGCCATCGCCCGGCAGGGGGAACCTGTTCTATGGACCAGGTTAGCCTTAAATTCAGAGATCCAGCTGCCTCTACCTCCCAAGTGCTGGGTGTGTCAGCCCCTACCTTCTATGTTATGATCTTTCAAATGTACCTTAAATTTGATTTGAAAATATTCTATTGAGAATGTTTACATCTATGTTCATTGGAGAAGTTGGTTTCTCTTTGTTGTGTCCCAATCCAGTCTAGGGAAACTCAACAGTGAATCCATCTGGTTCTAGACTTTTCTTTGTTGGGAAGCCTCGTGAGAGATTATGGATCCCAGTTTCTGTTTGGTTTCTGTTTCAAGATGTTCCTTAAACATGTGCCTGTGTCGAAGATGTGGCAAAGCTGGATCACCCTCACCAGAGCTGGCTGCAGCTGGAGCCATGGCTTTGAACATCTATAGCTGTGAGCCAAGAGGAATTCTTTTCCTTATGAAGTCGGCCTCTCTAAGGTATTTCATCTCAGTAGTGAACATTAACAAATACAATGCCTGATTAGACTTCCATGTCTTGTTTGGGGGGATCTTGGTGTTATTCTTGCAGAGCCTGGTGCATGCAAGGCAAATGCTCTACCATTCGCCTGTATTCTCATCCTGTGTCTTGTGTTTATAAAGAGGTTGGTAGTGCTTTTTCCTCAGTTCAAACTATTTGGTGCTATTTTTTTATATGTGAATGCAATAAAGTCCATGCGGGGAAGAATAAAAGGTGAAAAATGGCCTATCCATTTCATCTTTTCTCTGGGACGCTGAGCTTTGCCGTCCTCTTCCAGAAGAGGAACTGAAGGATGAAAATCCCTGCTAACTGCGATGTCTCCGACGGAAGGAGGTGCAAGAAAGCTAATGAATGTTGTCTTGCTGACTTCCCCAGGACAGATGAGAAGGGAGACTCGTCAATAAAATTCCTCTAAAGCAATGATTTTAGCCTGGGCCACACGTTACAATTACCACGGGAGTCTTAAAAATACTGATGTCTGTCTATGCCCCACCCCCAGGGCTTCATTTTTAGTTACAACTGGGTGAGTTCTGAGCATAAAGTCTTTCAAGCACCAAGATGACTTTAATATGTATGCACAACTAAGATCCTTGTTCTGATTTGGCTTAGGATGCCAAGGCTCATACACTGATCCTAAGCATAGTATTGGTTTGAGAGAAGCTTTCTAGTAAAAGTCTAAGAAGGAGAGTCCTCGTCCAGTTCTGCTTTAGTATACTAACATGGTTCCTATAAATACAAAGGAAGTTTGAACTGGCTCAGAAGGATGCATTCATTGGCACAGAGAGTAAAACAAAGAAGAAATATAGGTGTGAGTTCAACCAAGTGAGCTCAATTAAGGGTCCCCTCAAACTTAGAGAGGTTTTCATTTTAATGGGAACAAAAACAAACCTGACTCTTGAGAGCAATCATTAAAACAAATGTCATCCTCTGTTACTGAATCACAAAGTAACCAAATAGATATTCACTGTCCTTTATGATGCCCGTGGGCCATTACTCTCACAGTGGCTTTTCAGAGAACAAAATTAAAACCAGTGCAGTGCTAGTTCTGGACTTCGTGAACTATCTGGCCTTTGCTGCCAGAGGCATTTAATCAACAGCGTGAGGCATTTAATCAACAGCGTATGGCCTCCTTACTTAGATGAGGGCAACTCAAGCTTGCAAATGACACCTACTCTGAGTCATTCTCTACACTTTGACGGGCAGAGTTTTCTCTTCAAGTGTGTGTTGTGTGTCTGTGAATCTGTATGTGTTGAGTGTGTGTTCATGCTGACAGACAGAGCTTTCTCTTCAAGTGTGTGTGTGTGTGTCTGTGAGTCTGTATGTGTTGAGTGTGTGTTCATGCACAGTGAAGAGGATAAATATCAATAGAGAATATCTTTTTCTATCACTCTCCACCTTATTTTTTGAGACAGGTTCTCTCATTAAACATAGAGATCTTTGATTTGACAGGACTAGCAGGCTAAGAGACCTCAAAGAGCCTACTTGTCTCCCCAGAGCTGGGATGACAAATGCATTTTTGTCACTCCAGGAAATATGTGGGGATTGGGGATTGGAACTCTGTGAGTGCTTCACTGATTGAACCATCTTCCAGCACCTCTACCAACACAACACAAAAAATAGATACATTCATGAACATACACATAATTTTTGTGCCATTGCTTTATTAGCTAACCTTTTCTAGAACCTAACCAATGATAAGTCAAGGAAAGGCTTTAATTGGTACATACAAATCTGATATGATAGCTGGCTGAAACTAGTGGTGAGCACTGCATGTTATTATGAACACACAGATATTCAGGAGAACACTGATCACTATGCATCCAGTTCTCTAGTGAAACTTGTCTTTAACAGAGGTAGTATCAGTACTGCAGGTTTTAATGCTCTGAGACCCATTTCTTAAGTAAGACTTATCATCCTTTAACTGGGGTGCATGGATTGCTACCATAATGCATTTTTTACCAACTGAACCTCCTCAGCTCTTCTTCACACCCTCTGATGGCTCTGCATTCCCTCCCTACAGGGCCTTCATACCCACTTCTCTAGCCATCTCTGTCTCTGGATCCCTCATACTATTTTGAGCTCTGGCCTCCCAGAGCTGCTCCCCGAGAGACACCAGCTATAGGGCTTGGTCTGCACACTTCTAGTGGTCCAGCCTTCCATGGGCCACAGTTTTCTTGGCTCTAAAGAAACATCTTTCAGGATTCATTTCAAAGTAACTTCACCCTGGAGTGTCTGCAACCAGCGGTTTTAGAATCAGCTGCTTCTTCCTCAGCCCATTGGCCCCACTGTCACGGCAGTTTTTACCAACATAGCGCTTTCAGCTGGCTTGCATTCACAGCTGTGCTCTGTGGGCTTTAGTGAGGAGATGGTATCCTAACCATACCCATCACTTAACTATTAGTGTAACTTAATTGAGTGAACTGAGTTTAACTGAATGAATTTGCTTTTCCATAAATTAACTTCTCTCTCAACCCACCTCTCTTTTAATACCCATCTACATATATCCCATGTCGGGATATATGAAAGGGGAAGCGTGATGAGGGGGATGAACATGGCTGCCTTTACTTACCATGGATGCTCTGTGCCCAGTGGTTGATGGGAGAGGCGAAGGGCTGTTTTCCCTTTGTGGACAATCCAAGCAGGAGCTATTCAGAGACCTCGAGCTTCCTGAGTCGCTGTGCAGTTGTCCCTTTTCTGACAGCATCCTGGACAGAAAGCTGGCCTTGCGACTGCCTGGGCCGAGTCTGTCTACCCAGACCCCACTCTCGCGCGCGCTGCCATCGCTGCCTTGGAAGTGACTTTGAAGATCTGCGAGAGGTTTGCCTGAGGCCTCTGGGCCCTGGGATCGCTCCCAGGTTCCTAGTGTAGATGGTGGGCAGTGGGGAGAAGCTGTCATAGTACCTACCCAGGACTGAGACCTTGCGTTCTTAGAGCCAAAGAGGGACTGGCACGGTTGCTGTCCTGGGTGCTGAATTCTGGCACTGCCATCGTGGGGACAAGGGCTGTGGACGTGGAGCTGTCCACTGTTTGCAACTTTCTCAGCCCAGTCTCTTTTGCTACAGGAGACGTCCACATCATGTTGCCTGGGGTGTTGAATTTGCCATGTGCTTTTAGACCTTGGTATGTTGACTCGGATGACCTGCTGTTTATTGTTGGCTGAAAGTAGGGAGAATCTTTCGGGTAAAGAAGAGCAAACCATACACGGCTGGGCCCCCGAGTAGTTGGTTGAATGGAACGGAAGGCCTGCTTCATGCTCAGTGTTCCCACTGCTGGACTTGCCGTCAAGTGCCCTCATGATCTTCCTGACGCCCAGATGAAATATTTCCAGGATATTGAGTAACAAGGAGAGGGCAGCAATGCTGTACATAAAGACCATGAAAATGGTCTTCTCTGTAGGTCTGGAGACAAAGCAGTCCACCGCATTGGGGCAAGGGGGTCGGGTGCATTTGTAGAGGGGGTGCATTTGAAACCCATAGAGAATATATTGGCCTAGCATGAACCCTACTTCTAGCAAAGATCTGGTTAGGATGTGTAAGACGTAAGTACGCAGCAGGCATCCTCTCAGAGGGACTTTATGAATCCTTCTCTGCTCCTCGAGTCTCCTCAGCTCCCTCTCCACCCTTTGCTGCTCTTCCAAGTCAAGCTCTGGGTCCTCCATCTGGGCCCTAAGGTGTGACTTCTTCTTCTGCCTTTGCTTCTCAAAGTCCCTAAGTCTATAAAGTGCGTGGCCCATGTACACCAGAGAAGGGGAGGACACAAAGATGATCTGCAAAACCCAGAATCTGATCAAAGAGATGGGGAAAGCATCATCGTAGCAGATATTGTTGCAACCCGGCTGCTGGGTGTTGCAGGCAAAGGAGGACTGTTCATCGTCCCAGACATCCTCAGCAGCGACACCAACTACCAACATCCGGAAGATGAAGAGGATGGTCAGCCAGATTTTCCCCACGATAGTTGAATGGGAGTGAACTTCCTCTAGGATGCCACCTAGTAAGTTCCAATCCCCCATGGCTAGAAAGTCACATCTGAAATACACAGAAAACAAGGAAGTTGGGCTGGAGAGATGGCTCAGTGGTTAAGAGCATTGCCTGCTCTTCCAAAGGTCCTGAGTTCAATTCCCGGCAACCACATGGTGGCTCACAACCATCTGTAATGAGGTCTGGTGCCCTCTTCTGGCCTGCAGATATACACACAGACAGAATATTGTATACATAATAAATAAATATTAAAAGTAAAAAAGAAAACAAAGAAGTTAATAAGACTGAAGAATACAACTTGCAAAGGCACATGCTCATAAATAGCACAGACTCTTTGCATAAGTCAACACAACTCCTGATATCTCTGCTTCATATTTAAGACTGGAATTTTCCAAGGAATATCAGTTTCTGGACAAAATGCCAACTCTCTACAATTTAACTCGTTTACTTCTTTTCCTCTTGTCTCCCACATGTTCGTTCTAGGATACCTGTGAGTCTCCATATTTATACAATGCATTCCACAGTCTTGATAATATTTCTACTCATTTGAAAAACCTATTTATCTCACACCTAACATGATCTTAAGTAAGGCTCGACTCCTCTAGAATTTTTCTCTAGCAACCCAGCTCACACTGACTTTTCCGTTTCCTAAGTTTCCACAGCCATTCATTTGGTATGTTGCCTAGAAGAATTGTGTGATGTTTGTGTTTTCTGTCTCATTTCTTGAAAAAGTGTACTTCCTGCAAGTAGAGACTCTCCGTGTTATCTTGATCTATCTACACAGAAGGTATCAATATGCAAAATTTTAAAATATGTTCCCATGAGCTTTCCACCAAATTATCAACAGGGAAAGCAAGGCAGGCTCGCGTCATATATGGTTCATGGTGCCACGGCAGATGGAACATACATAAAGAGAAGTCAGTCAAGTGAATCCTGGGGAACCGTTTCAGGACAGGGTGCTGGTAATGTAGGCAGACACAGAAACGGCGCCAAAAAAGACACATCTGGAAAGGCAGGTCTTCATAGAATTCTTGCAAACTTGGAAAAGTTAGTATAAACTGTTTCTCCAGAGAGCTTGTCATCTAGGAAGGAATCAAGGCATAAGTGGCATACACAAGTTATGCTGTTTATCCTGGAAAAAATAGTGCTTTCCAAGGTTAAAATATTAGTAACCTGAGTTTTCTGATATGTGGAAGGCTTACAGGTAAGAAAAAAAGAAATATAATTAAGTTAAAATATACAATGACACGATTTTTAATTTTAAAATTTATCTATTGAAGAATATTTTCTGAAGTCTTACTGCTTCCTAAGCATTGCACAGATGCCGAAACTCAACAACAGGTGTGGTATATCGGGTCCCTCACCATAACTAACCACTAAAGGCTACTACTAACCTACAAGATGGGCCAACCCTGAAAAGATAAAATGAATGCCAACCAGAAAGATTTCAAGTGAAACATATAATTTTTAAAATTTTTTCATAATCCCCCCACACAAAATTAAATTCCAGATGGACTAAAATATTAAATGTAAGCCAGGCATTGTGGCACGGGCCTTTAATTCTAGCACTTGGGAATCAGAAGCAAGTGGGTCTCTGAGTTTGAGACCTGGTCTACAGAGAGAGTGACAGAACAGTCAGGGCTACACAGAGAAACCCTGTCTCTAAAAACAAAAAGAAAAAAAGTAAATGTGAAAGAGTAGGCATTAAAAGTCCTAAAATAATAACCAGGCTTATTGGTGTTCCTGTAGTCCCAGCTACTAGAAGCAGAAGGATCGTTTGAAACCAAGAGTTTAGGCTAGCCTGGGGAAAATGATGAGATTCTTTCTCAAAACAAAAAGAAAAGAAAGTGGTGGGCTGGACATGGAGACACTCACCTATAGTCTGGACTGTGTAAGCCACCTTTTCTGGGATGACTTCTGCCGGGTTCCTAGCTGCAGTGGGCTCAGGTAGAAGTTCCAGAGTAAAAGCAAGAGGTTATAATTATTAGGCAAAAGGAACATAGATGTAGGAGAAATACTAGGTAGAAACATAGAATAGTATTGGGAGGGAGTTCCGGTGAATATTGAAAGTTGCCCGCATTTAATTTCCTTTTGCTTATACCCTGACCCTGAAAGGTAGGAGTAAAATTAAAAAAAAAAAACTGCATTCACACGATACAAGGAATGAACAGACCAGCTGAAGGACTGGGGGCTACATTCTTAGTTAAACATTGCCAGAACAAGACAAGTAATGCTGACACCCTAGACCAAAACATTCTGTAGGCAAACTACTCCCTGGGTGGAATCTATAGTTATCTCCCTAAGGGAGTGGGAACTTAGCTGGGTCCTTAGACTTTTGTTTGAGGTAGAAAAGATCTATTTCTTTTTTTTTTTTTAAGATTTATTTATTATGTATACAACATTCTGCCTCCATGTGTGCCCACATGCCAGAAGAGGGCACTAGATCTCATTACAGATGTTGTGAGCCACCATATAGTTGCTAGGAATTGAACTCAGGACCTTTGGAAAAGCAATGTGTGCGCTTAACCACTGAGCCATCTCTCCAGCCCCCAAAGATCTATTTCTTAATACAATACCTGAAATGCCAGGTCTGGCTATTAGCCACACCTGTCAACCTTGAGAGAGCAGACCTCTCTGACCTGTTATTTGATCTGTTGACAATAACCTTAAAGGAACACAAGTAAGTTCCAACTCTCTGACCTTTAGTCAAAGTAGAATGGACCTGTACTTATAAGCCTTGTCACAGGACATGGGAGGCTGAGAGGCAGGAGGACTATGAGTTTGAGCCCATCTTGGGCTACATAATGAAACTCTCTCTCTCTTTAAAAGTGTTAAGATGCAAAAGAATGTTTTAACTGGGAACTTGACTCAGTTGGTAGAGTGCTTGCATAGCATGTAAGAGTCTGGGCTCACCCAGGCAGGAAGTAAAGGCAAGGGGGATCAAATGTTCAAGGTCATCCTTGGCTACTCTGTGAGTTCAAGACCAGACTGTGCTATATGAGACCTTGTCTCAAACAGCAGTAGTAGCAAACAGCAAAACAGAGCATATTTGTAATCTTAGAATAGGACATGGCAGAACAGCACCCGCATGCCTGCCTGGGGTTGCCTGCCCTGGGCACCCTGGGCAAGGAGGAGAGAACACAGGTCTGCCCTGTGCCATCAGGTACCATTATGGTAAGCAAATATATGGTGTGGTTTGAGAGAAAGAGAGAGAGGCAGAATGGTTCATGTCCTGTGGACAAAGGCAGAGGTGAAGGCAGCGAGGGGGCTGAGGTGAGTGGCCTGCTTGTTATCTGGAGCTATAGTGACGTCAGGGCCTGGGCTGCTGCCAAGAGCCATGTGTTAGTCCATGACCCTGCAGTAACCTCGGTCTGTGTTGATGTTCATGACTCCTGTTATCACCAAGGGCCAGAGGAGAGGGCTGCGCAGAATTGGCCCTGCCCCTCACCAGCTGCAGCACTCGGGAGAGCAGGCCCTGAACCTCGCCTGGGCAGCACAGTAGAGCTGACCTTGTCAACAGGGTGCAGATGAGCTGGCCCCACTGCTCATCTGTCGTGCAGTGAGCGGGTGTGGGGAGGGAGAGATGCCCCCATCTCCCCTTGCCACCTGATGTAGGTGGGAAGAGAGCTGGCCCTGCCCCTCACCAGCTGCAGCACTCGGGAGAGCAGGTACTGCACCTCTCCTGGGCTTCACAGTAGAGCTGGCCCTGTAGGCAGGGGTGCAGATAAACCCACCCCAAGGGCGTGAGATTGGAGGAACTGACCCTGCACCCCTTTGGATGCCATGTGGCGGCATGGGAAAGAGAGAGATGCCCTCCCCCTCTGCGCTCCTCGCCACTGGTGGCAAGTGAGAGAGTGGGGGAATTGGTCCTGCCCTCACCAGCTGCAACATTTGAGAGAGTGACCTTTGCAGCTCACCTGGGCAATTGCAGAACTGGCTGCAGGATCTCCATGACACAGGGCAACAGCGGGATGTCCAAGAGGAGGCCTGATGAGGGCCCAGCAGAAACCAGAGGCCTTGACCTCAACCGGCAACTCATTGCAGTGAACACTTACAAATAAAGGTTTAAGGACTGAAGGGAACACTGTGTGACTCCCTGTGCCACACTGCAGCTTCCATGATGAGGTTTTGTTTTTCATTTCTTTTAAATTTTATTTTCTTTTGTTTTGGGAAGGAGGCGTCAGCGACAGAGGGCGCAGACAAAGGGATGGCGAGATGGATGGGATCGAGATGCATGAATCCACAAAGAACCAATAAAAGTTTAAAAAGAAAAAAGGAAAAAGAAAAGAGACATCTACTCAGGAAGGATTCATCTTTCCTCAGACTTTCATTATTCTTTTTTTTTTTTTTTTTTTTTTTTTTTTTTTTTTTTTTTTTTTTTT